AATCCCATAGCGAAAGCAACGGAACGATTCTAATATCATGGGGAACTCCGTTCCCATAACAAAATAGATTAAGAAATTATTCACAAACCAATCTCATTTTCTTTTTAATTGATCAATTTGTTGATGTTGTTGTTTTTGTGTGACAGACATCACAGGATTCCTGATCCTTATCCCTCAATATCGTTCGTTTGGGTGCACTCGTTTCGGCCTCCATGGCCAGCCAAGGCCGGCTGCCAGTCAGCTGATAATCGAGTTGTCTTAACTCTGGGTATAAAGGGACTCTAATCCAATGCACCTCTTTTGGCTGGGCAATAGATAGGAATGGAGGCTTCTGGCTATTTCAAAGGGAGTCCTCTCAAATGAGTCAGTTGCGCTGGTCACAGAATCGTGTTTTCATGCTTGATTTTTGCGGATTAGGCCTTGTCCACACGAGCGCAGTTCGCGGAACTTATTCCTTGAAACGAGGCATGCTGTCCACACGGGTTCGTCCGAACTGGAACCGGAACTTCAATAAAACTATACAATTATTGCAAAATAATAGATTATTATGACCGCCAAAGTAACAAAAATAAATGTCAAGATCATATGTAAAGGACGTGAAAAACAAAAACAAGCAAATTCACATCAAAAGAAACATATTTAGAAGCTCGAAGCATGGGGGAAATTCCAGGTTTTGGAGGAATAAGTTTCAGCTCAGCAAAAAACTTGTTCCGTGAACAAGTTCCTCGAACTGAGTTCCGCGAACCGCGTTCGTGTGGCCAAGGCCTTCGTTCATCGTTTAATACTAGCCGAGATATCGCCCATTAAAAAGTCGGGTTTCTGGCGCCATCCACCCTGGTAGTGGCACCCTTGGTTTCTCCCAGCTTGCTTTCATCCTAGTTTCATGTTGAGTATAACTAGAGTACCTGTAAAGCGAGGCCTACAAAACTCCGAAAATCCATCAGGCCTTCACCGATGCCTCCGCGAATAAAGTTAAGGCCCAGAAATGCAGCCAACCTATGAATTTCAATTATCCAGAGCGATTTATTAATACAATTGTTACGAGCCATCGTTTATAAAGCACGTATTTGACTTAGTTTTTGCAAAAATTTACTCATTTTTGTGGAAGAACGCTCATTTATGTACTTTCTTAGCCATCTTCGTTCGAATTGGAGTCTACAGACTGGCAGTGAAATTTTGTGCGTTAGAAGTTGGTTAGAAGGGTGGCTGCACTTTTGGGTCCTAAGGCACATTTGGACTAAATATTGAAATTACGATGCAGAAATCTCATCCTGATTACAAAAGCAGTTAAACAGGAATAATACGAGTTTCGGACTTTCTGTAATATTCCGGAGCTTAAGAACGAAGATTTAAGTTGAAAAACTAACGGGGATATCACAGCGCCCATAAAAAAATATTCGAAAATTCAAATGGAAATATCTGCAATATATTCTCTTACAAAATATGATGAAGAGAAAGTCACTTCGGAAAAAAGCAAAACTAGAAACAAGCTTTCATAATCAACATGTCTTGGTTCTCTAGCCACGAGAGGAATTAGAGCACTGCGCGACGTGTTTCCTCTATAAAATTTTACGAGCAAATCGAAGTCATGAGACGGATGGGGAGTGTGGAAATGAACTCCGAAACTAATTAAGATTAACATTGCTTGAATGACACAAATACAAATGACGTCATCTGTATAGTCTCAACTTGAAATTGTCAATGATCAGAGTATCGTTTTTCTCCGGTGTGCGATCGAATATGTACCCTTGGAGAAACTATTTATGAGAACCAAGCTGAGAGAAGCCTACAATTAAAAGGTCCCACACCGGCGTGTGTCGTATGCGTTGATTTAAACGGCTTTTTCTGGACAAAAAGGCAGAGCACTGAGTGAAAATGCATGGTTTATCGGAGTATGCTCCTTCAATTGCCTTTTCCGCCGAAAAGAGGATGAGCAGTGACTGCATCAGTACAGTTTTCCATCAGTATGCATTCGCAAATGTCTCTTTAAAGTGACATTCCCGCGGAAGGACGCCGAACAATGACTACAACTGAATAGTTTCTCACCAGTATGCGTGGAGACATGTGCCGTTCGAGACTGTTTGTGAGCAAAGCATGCCGTGCAATGACTGCAACTGAATGGTTTCTCTCCAGTATGCGTCCGGATGTGTTTTGTCAAATTACTTTTCTCAGCAAAAGAGGCCGAGCAATGACGGCAACTGAATGGTTTCTCACCAGTATGCGTCCGGATGTGAATTATCAAATTAGTTTTCTGAGCAAAGCATGCCGTGCAATAACTGCAACTATAAGGTTTCTCACCAGTATGCGTGCGAACATGTGCCTTTAGAGAATATTTGCGAGCAAAGCACGCCGCGCAATGACTGCAACTGAATGGTTTCTCACCAGTATGCGTTCGAACATGTGCCGTTAAAGAATGTTTGTGAGCAAAGCATGCCGTGCAATGACTGCAACTGAATGGTTTCTCGCCAGTGTGCGCTCGCATGTGTTTCTTTAAATTGTCTTTACTAGCGAAAGAAGAGGAGCAATGACTGCAATTGAATGGTTTCTCGCCAGTATGCGTTCGCATATGTACCTTGAGATTTTGTTTCGTACTGAAAGAGGAGCGGCAATGACTGCAACTGAATGATTTCTCACCAGTATGCGTTCGAACATGTTTAGTTAAAGCAGACTTTTGAGCAAAGCATGCCGTGCAATGACTGCAACTGAATGGTTTCTCACCAGTATGCGTTCGAACATGTTCCGTTAAAGAATGTTTTTGAGCAAAGCATGCCGTGCAATGACTGCAATTGAATGGTTTCTCGCCAGTATGCGTTCGGATGTGTGCTGTCAAGTTACTTTTCGTAGCAAAAGAGGCCGAGCAATGACTGCAAATGAATGGTTTCTCGCCAGTGTGCGTTCGCATATGTACCTTGAGATTTTGTTTCGTACTGAAAGCGGAGGGGCAATGACTGCAACTGAATGATATCTGACCAGTATGCGTGCGAACATGTTCCGTTAAAGAATGTTTGTGAGCAAAGCATGCCGTGCAATGACTGCAACTGAATGGTTTCTCGCCAGTGCGCGTTCGCATGTGTTGCTTTATATTGTATTTACTACTGGAAGAGGAGGAGCAATGACTGCAAGTGACTGGTTTTTCGCCACTATTTATTTGAATATGTCGCGCCAATGAGGTTTTCGTAGTAAAAGATGCAGCGCAAACATTGCATATGGATGGTTTGGCATTCATTTTTTTCGAATCTCTCATTGATACTGTACTCATATTTACATGTATGTGTCGAGCGTTCCTTTTTTCACCGTTTGCAAGGGTTCTCGTTCTCTTGCCTACGTTCTCTTCGGCCTGTCCGAGATAGGTAGTGCCGATGCTCCCTCTTTTCACTGACGTTATCTTCGGGACGAAAGCACGAAAATCAACCTCCGAATCGAGCTCTCCGTCCTCATTATACAACCTAACTTCAGACTTACCCATTTGGAGAGATGGCTCACTCTCAATTTCGATTTCCGAATGTAACTGGTCAGCCAAACTTTCATCACATTCGTCGGGATGGGGAGTCCCAATGTTTTCTATCTTTACTCGCTCTGCCATCGAGACACTTTCTCGATAATTAACGTCCAAATCGAGTTCTCTTTTTGCTTTTCCCACCTTGGATTCCGCTTCGTTTGTTTGGGCAGGGGGTTCACTCTTAATTTCAATATTCGTGAGTGATAGGTCAAGCAAATTTTCATTACATTCGTCGGGAAGTGGAGTGCTCATGTTCTCTCTCTTCACTCGCGCTGTTATTAGGACAAAATCACGAATATCATTCTCCAAATCGTGTTCTGCTCCTCCTCGTCCCAACCTGAGTTCTGACTCATCCGTCTGGGGAGTGGGTTCACTCTTAATGTCAATACTTGTATGTAGCTGGTTAGTCCAACTTGCATCAACTTTTTCATCCTCGCATTCGACTTTGGGGGGAAGAGCGGAGGGACAATCGAAGATGGACGAGAGGAAGGTTTCTTTGGTCTCTTCTAGTGATGCCAGTTGGGGATTGTTGGAATCTTCAAGGCGACTTTCTACGGAGTGGGAAGATGGGTTGCCAGACATACCGCTAGACTCCGAGCTGGTGCTTGCTTCAGGCACGGCCTGCATTGAAGGGCTCGTGCAATAAATCCTGGACACGTCTCCCTGGGGATCCTTCACACTTTTATCGATTGGTGGATTCACTTGATTGGAGTCTTCACATGTGCTGATTGCTGAGTGCTCTTCCCGTTAGATTTTTAGCTTCGGCATTCTCCATTCAAAATCCTGAACAGAATAAATTTCAAGATTTGTAAGCAACGCTTTGGACGACGATTACGATAGGAGGTATTCGATAGAGGGATTGAAAGACGGAGAGATATTTGTTGCGATAAATCGATTGATCGGTCATGTAAACCTATGGACGAGGATCTATGTACACTGCACAGGGTGTTCGCAACGAAAACCTTAATCATAGATTCTTTAACATAGCTTCAGGTGGAAAAATATCGAAAACCGATCATTCACGCCACGCCACTGGATACGGGTACCCGCGGGATCGAAGTATGCGATGTTTCGAATGACATCCATCCATCCATATATTTAATATCCTAAGGCCTTTTTAGGCCTCATACAGTTTGAGCTAATTCGATCTCGGAAACTACTGGACCGATTTTGCTCGGATTTGATTTAAATGAAAGCTCTTAGGCTGTAGACGTGCCAACATTCCTTAGTTTTTCAATTTGCACGACCGACGTTGCAAAATTTTCCTCGATTTGATAACGAAATATTTTCGTCTTTGCCGCTGGACGAGTCATATGGTTGGGGGACCTCCCACCCTCTAATTTTCCGTTTCCCTCTCCACGTAAACCCATCCCTACCTGCCGTTAGTACGTGTCACCCTTCTGCTCTGGCATGGGTCCTTTGTCCGTATCACTCTCTTTCTTATGCCGTCTGACTCGGAACACCTACTACGAAAAATGAATGAATTACCGCAAATTTTCGCGACAAAAAGCACACGCCCCGATAATCTTTAAAAAATTCGATCGGATGAGCCTTCGATATATGCGACGACTTCAAACTCTAAGCCCGGACCTCTGAGGTATGTATCGGACTGATCCTGATTTCTGGACCTATCTTCTTTTACCAATCCCACGGATATGATTCTTGTTTCTGTGATTATCGAGAGTGACGGTATGTGGCTACCCCCACTCGAGGAAAATGGCATCCCCTTAATCTGAGCATTGATTCGGTTTGAACTCGACTGCAGCCCAAAGGACTGCACGGATTCATACGAAAATTTAAATTTCACGACGATTTAATAGCAGCCGAGGTAGATTCAAGGCCACGTTCGTCATTTCGTTAGGGTACAAAACCTATCATCAGACTTTTGAACTTAAAAAATAAGACTGAAAATTAGAGTTTCCGATCAAAGGTGCCCCATGGTTCATGACAGGCGCGCTCAGAGACTATAAAAGCTCAAAGAACAGATTTTCTTTCAGGTGAGCCTCCTTCCTTAGCAACATTAATGATGTTAATTCTTTCTTTCTGGACCAATTGAGGATTAGATTGCCACGAGCAAAAGTGGGCGATAAAATATGCGAAGTAACTGGAGATAAGGCAATTAACAGGTTGACATGCCTTAGTTGGTAGAGCAATTCACAATTTACGCGAGTTCGGTTCCGACTCCAACTCAAGAATACAAATATTTCGACTTCGATGTGTTGCACAGTATCGCACCCAATTGAAGGCGTTTTATGTTGGCCCGACCACAACCTACGGAAAGTGGAGTCTTGATGTTTTGTCATAGAGTGCTGCTTAGCTACATTAGTTGAATGCAAAATGATGAGAACTTTTCACTCATGTTAGTATCAGGAGGAGCTGATGACTTTTCGGGTTGAAATTAAGTATTCAGTTTTATTTTAGACGCATGATAAAAGTCTGACTATTTTATACCGAGAAATCCCTTTCCCATGCTAAATATAGTTCCCGTCAAAAAGTTCCATCTGATACCGAGTTTCGAAAAAATCGATTGAACCCACTCGTTAATGAGGGCGCTCAACGGAGCTCACAATGTCAGCGCAGATACCTGTGCGAACCCGTCCTACCGCACAGTGGATCGAGTCAATAAGAGAGGGCGAACGAAATTTGGATACTTGAAACGCTTATAATTCGTTTATACAAAATTAAAAGTTCGGTTATTGGTTCAATTGATTTTCTCGTGAAATATTCTTCAAGAGAAACCCCTTAAAGACTGTAAATTTAAGACAAAAATTGTAAACTGATTGCGGCAGACGAACTCATACGGTAGTATGTTGGAGTTTTTTGCCAACGTGCGTTTAAAATTCAGCATAAGGCTGAAAATCTCAATACGGAGGGAAAAAGCTCGTTCGAGTACAAATTTTCCGATTGAGCGAATTTGAGCGATTGTATTGAGATTTTCAGCTTTATTCTGAATTTTTAACGCACGTTGGCATAAAACTCTAACATACAAAAATTATCTTGTAAATTTCATATTTTTTCATGGTTTCCATAATTTTATTGCGAAGGATGAAGTTGCACAACAATAGCACCATTGCAATGCTTCTGGTTCCTTTTTGCAAAATGCAATCCAATTGAGGCCACGAGCAAGAGGGGACATAAAATAGGTATGGGAGGTGACTTGAGATAAGGCAGTTAACAGGTTGACATGCCTTAGTTGGTGGAGCAATTCACAATTTACGCGAGTTCGTATCCAACGCCAACTCAAGAATACGAATATTTCGACATTAGTGTGTTGCACAGTATCGCACCAAATTGAAGGCGTTTTATGTTGGTCCAACCGCGACCTGCGGAGACGAGGAGTCTTGATGTGTTGACTTTGAGTGCTGCGTATGGCTCATGAGTACTTTTCACTCATATTGGTGTTAGGCAGAGCTGATGACTTTCCGCGTTGAAATGAGGTAGTATGAAGCTACGGAAAAGGATCGATAGACTTGACAGAGTTTTCGCAACGAACACCTTGATAATCGATTCATTACCACAGCTTTAAATGGGGGAAGAATCGATCATCGATCATTAGCGCCACGCCACTGGTTCTATGGGTTTCCTCGTGAAATATTCTTCAAAACACACCCTTTTCAGTTTAAAATGTGGCGAAATAAACAAACGTTTGTGGTTTTAGTCGAGTTAGCTGTTAGTTTAGTTTTAGACAAAGGATAGCACTTACAGCTGTCTTGCCTACAACTTGTCTTACGTGAACATGAAAAATGCCTTTTGAAAATGGTTGAAAATGAAATTCGTCGGTTTTTAATCATCCAAACGATTTGAGAGTGCCCTTCGGGTGATCGGTGGAAATTAGACAAAGATCGAAGGCTCAACGAACTTTCCTGCACAGACGCTTCTGAGCGCATTATCTCAAAACCTCATTTTTGCTACGGCTCACAGTAATTGGTTGTCACACATTGGTTTTTTCGTAAAATTTTCTTCTACTGGCACCCCTGAAAGTTTAAATTGTGACGAAATAAACATCAACATTTGCGGTTTTAGTCGGAAATTTCATGTGCGACCTCTTTTATTGACTCAATCCACGGTGCGGCTCTCTTCGCTATCACGACATCGTAGACGAGACGGGGTATGAATTTCCAAGGAAAAAATTCACTTTAGGTTGGGAGAGCGCAGTATCGAGGCGCTTTAAAGTTATGAAAAAGGCTGCTGCAGGACGTTTCCGCACACTTTTTTTGGAAATTGCTAAAATAAATGAATATTTGGCAACATTGTATACTTGCCTCACTGCCGTCCGATAAATTAACCAGATTTACTTTGCCTGGAGCCTTTGTATGTGCGAAATGGGAGATTATCGTATTTTTGGAAGCTATCTGAGAAGTGTGGATCTCGGATAAAGGTGATAACGATGATGGGAAACCAGAAGAAGATTTTGATGTCGGCGATTCCGATGAAGAATGATTTTTTTAGGGAGATTTCTTTAGAATTACCTAAGCTGTTGCGGGGCCCTTCGAACCCTGAGTAATACTAGCTTCTTTGGGTGGGCAGGGAGGAGCTTTAATAAGGAAAGGGGGGGTAATCAGTCCCAAAATTTTACTTTTTTCCTAAATAGCAGAGTTGATTACTATGAAACTATTTGTCGACCAAACCCATATATTTGGTAGAGCCCCTCTAGTCCTTCACATACGCTTTACCTACGGAGGGAAAGCGAATGCGGTGTTGTGAAGTAGTAATTTTGTTTGGACGATTTTCGCAAAAGTGTGCGGAAACGTCCACCTCCCATGCAAAAAATAGTCATTTTGCACAGGACTTCGAAACCATCCGGGCTATGCGTTTTATCTCCTTATCAATCTCATCATCCTGGAGACTGATTTTTGAAATTTATACAGACAAAGAGACATCTAAACAGGCAAAAGAGAAAAACCGAAAATAAAGTAACTAGTGCTGTTGATTTTTTCTTCGATTTTCTGAAGATATCGATTTTTTGCACGGAATAGTCGATTAAATTAAATCGATTTTCAGCACGCGATTTTGCAGCTAATCGCCTTTGTACTCACAAATTGAAAGTTTTCGATTTTTTACAGGAAAAAATGTTACTCCTGAGTAATGAAGGAAGCAACAAGCCTTAATTATTCTTCAAAACTGGGAGCAGTCATCAAAGTTGCCCAATTTAAGGGGCAATGGAACTCGACGCTCAGTAAGGCGAGCATTGAATGAAAACGAACGGCACAATACTCATTCTAAAAATCGATTTTTTATTCGGAGCCATTTTCTTGAAAACTGATTTTTTGGCCTTAATTTTTCTGCAAATAATCGATTTTTTTTAACACAATCGACGCTATCGATTAG